AACTGTCATAATTTTACGTCTTTGCGAACACCTTACGTTCGCTTTGTCTTGACTTTCCAGTCGGCTGTTATTTATGAACTAATTGTAGACTGCACTTGTTCTCCGAAGATTCTTCGCCCGTTATTCGAAGAAACAGTTTTGATCAATCCATTCGACAATCTTATGCGCCTTAAAGTTTATTTGTGGCTAATTTGCTATTCGAAGAAATGTGCAACTGCAAACAGTTAAGATGGCTTCTTTCGAACCCAGCCAAAACATTGTGCTTCATTGAGCTCTATGATAATGTTTGAGCATGTGCATCCTATATGCACGTTTAGATGCAGTATGTTGGAAAATTTGACTATTACAAATAGATGTTTCTCGGATCTGGTAGCCTGGGGAAGAACTAATGGTATACATGCTTAAAGTGGTAAATTATTCCTTAAATACTGCAACTTAAATTTCGGGTATTGCAGTTAATGATAATGGCATTTTCAGATGAGTTTTTAATGATGCAAGGAGATAAAAATAGACAAGGGACTAATTAAATAGTATAAAGCTTAGATATGACTGCGAATATCCTTCAACCATGGTTTATGTACAACTACCTTGGGTGTAAGCAGCGAATATTGCGTTCAAAAGAACGCTGCTTAGTTCAAGGTTGTTTGAGAATAAACTGATCAGCGTGGAAACCCCCTAGGGTTTGTCAGTTGCCTGAATAACTCTAAATAAACATAGCCATCATGAACGAAAATTTGTAAGCACATTTGAGTACTTTATTGTACATATTTACATTAACTGAATTAATGATATCAACCGTGGCAATTTTTTAAGCGGAGTTAACGCTGATGTGGAAAACGAGGCACAGCCATTTGGTTATGGAAATGAAAAAGAGATTGCAGAATGTGGGAAAAAATTTGAAGATCTACGTCAAACAGACAACCCGGTGAATGGAACCAATCCATATGAAGCCTCCTCACCGTTCTTAGAGTATCATCCGGTGAAAGTGACGCTGGTTACACCAGTCATCGACTCTACTAGATTTGAACACAGAAAGTGGACAAGATGCATCAGCAGCAAACCCCTAGAGATCGAACGAAGTCAACAACATAACGATGGTATATAAATATGTACGAATTTTATTTTAAAAAAATTGGCTGTAGATCATTTGCAACCTGGTGTCATTGCT